GAATTGTTCGACCACCAGCAATCCAAAAAAATGCAAAGGAAGTTTTGCCGGAACGCACAGTTTTCGGGTGTCATTTGTATGGGTACGTCGCCAAAAATCGAAAAAATCAAGTTGGTCTTAATCTCTATTCCTGACATATTTAAGCATTCTGGCATGGTAACGCATGGTGAAATAACTTTCCTTCTCGAGTTTTTCGGGGACAAACTCCGGAACAATTTTCTGACCCACCCTGTATTTTAGTTTCCGGGGCCGAGCCGAATCGGCCGAGCCCGGCCCAGGAAAAATTCGGCCGGGCCCGGGCTCGGCCCCGCGAATTTGCATATTTTTCCGGGGCCCGGAAGCGGGTGTTTTTTTCATGTTAATTAGATTCCAGGCGCGGCCCCGAGGCTCGGCCGCCCTGAATTGCCATGTCTGCCCTTTACTATACTTTATATACTACCAGTGGAAAAAGACCGCTTCGCGGCCGTTTTCCACTGGGCCCCGTCCAGGAACCATGAATTTGAATAGATTCTTTTTAGACTGCGGCGCAAGAACCTGAGTCAGACCATTCTTTGGCCTGCGGCGCCAGAGCCAGCGTTGCGCTGGAATCCTTGAGCCTGCGGCGCTAGCTACTGCTTTTTCTCCCGGATTGAGCCTGCGGCGCGAGAGCGTGTTTCAGGGACCTTTTCTTTGGCCTGCGGCGCAAGAGCCTGGGTACAGGACCCATTCTTGGCCTGCGGCGCGAGATCCTGGACCGAGAACCTTTCCTTGGGCCTGCGGCGCTAGAGCGAAGGCCAGGCCTAAATCACGCACACGGAGGGCCCAGAAATATGTTTTGTTGCTGAACTACAAAAAAGCAAAATGCTAAATTTCTCGCGGATCCAAACCCGCGACCCCCAACGCCGTAGCCCCCGCCTTGATCCACTACACCACAGGCGGAGATTGGAACGGGCAGCGATAAAGGCCTCTTCATCTCCTGGGGGCGGAACCGAGCTGTGCTAAAAGGAATGGGCCCCAGCACCTCCGACAGGCAGGCCTTCAGGCCACTTTACAAAATTCAACTTTTGAGGTGGAAGCTGGTCGAATTTTGTGAAAATAATGAAATGCGCGTGATCCTCGCCATTCAATGCATCAGTGTTCAAAAATACAGGTCCAAAATCGCGATGTGTATTGAGATATGGCCTGGACACCACCGCCCGTGACGCGATTTATTAAGGACCTTCCAGAAAAATCCGTATAAAAACTTTGTTTTCAAAAATTTTGCAAAATCCGGAAAAATGTATCTGGGGAAATACTGTTCCCATCTACCCTCCAAAAATGAGGCCCCAATTCCCTCTAGGCGCTGAGAAAACTTCCGGACAACGCGGCAAAAACCCATTTTGTTAAGGGTTTTTTACTTTTTTGCTTATAAAATTGTTAAATAAAGGAATTTCGTAAAACAAAAAAATGCATCACTGAGAAATGTGTTTCTCCACCTCCATGCGAAAAATCAGCTCGAAATTCGGCCTGACGGCCGAGAAATCGGCTGTACAGAAAACAAACATACTTTTCTCGCTTATAGGATAGGAACAACAAAAAAGCTTATAGGAACAACAAAAAAGCAAAATGCTAAATTTCTCGCGGATCCAAACCCGCGACCCCCAACGCCGTAGCCCCCGCCTTGATCCACTACACCACAGGCGGAGATTGGAACGGGCAGCGATAAAGGCCTCTTCATCTCCTGGGGCGGAACCGAGCTGTGCTAAAAGGAATGGGCCCCAGCACCTCCGACAGGCAGGCCTTCAGGCCACTTTACAAAATTCAACTTTTGAGGTGGAAGCTGGTCGAATTTTGTGAAAATAATGAAATGCGCGTGATCCTCGCCATTCAATGCATCAGTGTTCAAAAATACAGGTCCAAAATCGCGATGTGTATTGAGATATGGCCTGGACACCACCGCCCGTGACGCGATTTATTAAGGACCTTCCAGAAAAATCCGTATAAAAACTTTGTTTTCAAAAATTTTGCAAAATCCGGAAAAATGTATCTGGGGAAATACTGTTCCCATCTACCCTCCAAAAATGAGGCCCCAATTCCCTCTAGGCGCTGAGAAAACTTCCGGACAACGCGGCAAAAACCCATTTTGTTAAGGGTTTTTTACTTTTTTGCTTATAAAATTGTTAAATAAAGGAATTTCGTAAAACAAAAAAATGCATCACTGAGAAATGTGTTTCTCCACCTCCATGCGAAAAATCAGCTCGAAATTCGGCCTGACGGCCGAGAAATCGGCTGTACAGAAAACAAACATACTTTTCTCGCTTATAGGATAGGATACCAGGGTTGAAAAATTTATAGACTTATGACCAAGCCTAAGCTAAGGCTAGGCTAAGCATAAGCTAGGGGTTAGGCTAGGCTTATTTCGGTTTTCGATTCGATTTTAGTTAATTTTTGATTTGAAAATTTGTACACTGATCACAACCGCGCATTGGTTCGGTCCAGATGGTTCAAGGGAAAGGGCGTACTGTACGTGTTTTCGCGCGTTGCGTGCGGGTGCGCGGAATAGCAACCGGTCTTTAGCTGCGCCGGCCTGCTTTCGCAATTGCGCGACGCGTCTATCGCACGCGTTGCGGTCTTCCCTCCTTTCCAAAGCTACCGGACGTTTTATTAGGAGCCGGGCCGCTGTGCTTGGGACCCACCCCACACGAGAACTCAAAAAATCCCCACCACATTCTAGTTAACCCCCAAACAAAATTCTTCATAAATTTTACTTTTTCATTTAACAAAACTTTCCTATCAAAATTTATCTAATTTTTTCCGCTAGGGATTCGAACTGTGGATGACCCGACCCTAGTGTAAATTGCCTGTCAAAGAGTCGAAACAGGCCAAATAATTTATCTTTAGCCCTGCTCCAAAATGGAGTAATCAATATTCTCATGAACATGACTTAAATTTATATTAACCTAATATATTTATCATTTCTTTTATTCATGGTTTAAAGATTCTAGCGTAGTCGTCGCTCTCGTCCCGCACGCCAAAAAAGAAACCTTGACTAACGCTCGTGGGCCGCAGCGATAAGGATTGGTTCAGAAATTTATCGTTCCTTGGTGGGATCCCGTGGAAAAGGGCTGCCAAGTTGTAATTTTTGCACTGGATGCTATCATAGGTGCTCGTTCATTCAAATGCAATCCAACGTTATGTCGATACAATCATCACACCACTTGCTACACTCCTTTCTGACGCTTTTATGCCAAAAATCGACGCTGCGTCAGTGGTTAGTATTATTTTGATGCCATACTTTTTAAAACGGTCATTTCAGAAAGTTGATAATTTGATGCTATCAATAAGAGAAACGAATAATTGTGCAGAATATGTGATGGCTGTCAATCAACATCACTCCTTTTGTCTCAATTATCTCAATTATCTTCGTGATGTTCAACGGCAAATCGATCGAGTGAATACGGGATTTCAGGTCTGCTGATACTCTGAATTAAATTTGGAGGTTTTTAGCAATTAATTGACAATGGAGAACTGGGGATCTCGACAGAAATGGGCGTTCAAGCAGGTTCTTCACTTCCAATGGTCTTTTAATTGAATTCTAGAACCCGTAATGAGCAGCGCCGCCACCATGATCGAGCTTGATTTTTACGAGGTATGACCATTTTTTGGCGGACAATCAGTTTCTTACAAGGAGACGTTTTTAGGTGGGCACGGAGTTTCGTAACGAGAACCAGCTCATTCGAAAGCGCTTCAAAAACTGAGCAAGACCCCGTTTTCCATTTCTGCGAAACGATAGCGATTGCTTTTTAATAATTAAATTAAAGAATTAGCAGAAATTGGCATGGTTCCCCTCGTGCGGAACGATTTCCTTCCAATACTCCCCTCTCGCGGTAAGCCAGGCCCCGTCTTCCCTTCCCCATAGCGATTTGGCGCAGTCGGTAGGGTGTTTGCCTCCCACGAAATTATTTTGGACTTTTTGTCGGTTCGACCCCTAGGCCTAGAATTCGTTTTGCTTTTTAATTCCTGAACTCTTTTGAAATGTGGAATCTACTACAAAATTAATTTTTTTGAGGTATGCCCCAAACCGGTAGCGTTGCACTCGCGTCTCAGGGATTAAAATCAACTGGCCCGCTGGTGCCTCCACGGATGCTGTTCAGAATTTAACGCATTGAGATAATTAAAATAAAAATTCAGCCCCTAAAATAAAAAGCAAAACAAATTCTGGGCCTAGGGGTCGAACCGACAAAAAGTCCAAAACAATTTCGTGGGAGGCAAACACCCTACCGACTGCGCCAAATCGCTATGGGGAAGGGAAGACGGGGCCTGGCTTACCGCGAGAGGGGAGTTTTGGAAGGAAATCGTTCCGCACGAGGGGAACCATGCCAATTTCTGCTAATTCTTTAATTTAATTATTAAAAAGCAATCGCTATCGTTTCGCAGAAATGGAAAACGGGGTCTTGCTCAGTTTTTCAAGCGCTTTCGAATGAGCTAGGTCTCGTTACGAAACTCCGTGCCCACCTAAGAACGTCTCCTTGTTAGTTTTTTTCCGGACAGATTTCTTCCGGACGTAGCTTTTTCACAGCTAAAAGGCTATTACAAATTTTACGATTCAGCAGCACACTTCTGATAAACTCTTGGAAATGGTCGACAAAATGAGAGAAGGAAAAGAAGTGACTGTGGATAGAAGAGAAAAATTGGTGAAGAAAGCGATCGAGAGGGAAATGATTGTGAGAAGATGTTTGGAAGTCTGTAGTTATATTTCAGCCGGCTGAATTCACCTCGGAGGATGGATTTGACCTTGACATTAGGTACGTGGTTATTTATATTAGAAGGGCACAATTTTTAGAACTGGAGACGGAAAATGGAAGAACAAGAATCAAATTGTGAAGGGAAAAACGGACCTTCAGAAGGTGTATTGTTCTTTCGTTGAGGGATTAGGTATTTGATCTTCGCATCATAAAAAAACAATTTTAGGGAATTGCTGGAAAGATTATTATTATCTGCATCTCGACTTTTCTGCAGCCAAATCTTGTGATATCAGCCGGATGATGAATATCCTTCATTCTCCAATATTCCGCGTAAGGCTTTTTTGGATTTTTGAGGGAATTATCCCCCTTTCTATTTTTACGTTATTTTTTAAAATAGCATTATTAAAAAAATTAGGGGGTATTGTCGAGAATCAGCGGCTGCCTCGCACTTAAAAACGGTCAAGAATATCCATCCGAGGTAAAACATGTCCCCCTTTTTATATAAACCGTTCTATAGATGGCAGTTTATGAATGTGCCGGTGTATGGAAAGAACTACTGTTGCGGGGTAATCTTCTTCTTTTCTATTCAATTGCCAAGAAATTTCTTGTGGCAATCGAGTTGGGATATTTTTAAGAATAGTTTTGATCTGCAAGTTTAATCCAGAATGTTATGTTTCATTGGACTGCCTTGAATAATTTTTGAAGCGAATCTTTTATGATACGTTCTGTAATATGATCAACAGGTAATTATCGGAGAAAGGATGGGATCAACTGCTCATCATTTGTCATTCGAAGTATACAGGTAAATAATGAAAATAGACAACCAGATTAAAATTCATTTTAGAAACTTTTGAATGGAGGGACATTAAGGGGTCAGGGATTTGACATCCACAGTGGCCCCTGGGTATTCTGAATGCGTCAAATTATCTTATATTTTTCTGTTCAGCATTTCCCATTTATCGGTGAGAAACAGAGGGATTTTGAGGAGAAATATAATGTTCTAATTGTACTGATTACGGTGGAAGGGCTAGGGAGGTAAGCATCAAACGGGCAGATTCTCGAAAATATCCAAGCAAATACTTTCCGTGTATTTTGACAATAGACGCGTAGCTTCTTTTTATTAGCCTGTTCGGGATATTTGGAAGACATAATTTTGCATTGGCCTCTCATCTCTCGCCGCTAATTCTATGTGTCGTCATGGAATTTTGACAGAGATCCCGAATTTTATAAGTTGATTCGATTTCGAGTTGGCCGGTAGATCGGCATCTATTAGTCCGCGATAAACAATAACATTTGTATACTTTTTATAGATAGTCCAATTTAGTACTGACCGATATCTCTGTATCTTCCCGTGCAACAAGGTAATGACTATTTTCATGATCATTATTAAGCCCCAATTTCAGCCCGACACTTTTCTCTGCTTTTGGTATAAATCGACTGGGTAGGACATCATCTGTCTTCCACTATACTAAGGAATTGCACAGATACTTCCATATTTCCATGGATTCTCCCGACAATATCGATAAATACGAGCAAATGGAGGTAAGTCAGTCCAAATAAATGTTGGGTCATGTTAGAAGATGCCGAGTAATTGCCAATCAAATATTAAAAGTATTCATGTACGAAAAACCGACATTTTAGTTGGGAATCATTCCAAAAGACGAGACAATGAAAGTGACATCGGAGAAGATCAATGAATGGACATATAAACGGATAGTAGGACAGGAAATAGAATGGGACGAAGATATGTCTAGGGTCTGGACGGTTGGTGAATGGAAGCGATAATCGAAATACCAGATACCGAATGCCACATTTGATTTTTCAGGCCAAATACCGACCAACATTCGATGATATCAATTGTTTTGACTATTTGAAGGGTCCACTACCAGATATGTCTTATTGTCATGAATTCGATGAAATGTGCTGAAGAAACTCGTTTCCTTTTCCAGTGTTGATCTGGAAGAATTTTTTTTTGAATAAATTGCTACCGCTCAAAATTAAACTCATTTTACAGACATTACCAGCATTTAGAAATCTTTTGGAAAGTCTGATGAGCAAATTTTTTCGCATTGTTCGAGCTTTTCCAAATCTACCGCGCGAAAATCAGCATATCTAAGCGGCTGATTGGGTTCGTGTGTGGGGCGTCAATCTCGCTCCCCTGCTCCCTTCTCTTATTATTTGTCGACTGTCATATTCTTTGATGGACACATCCCCCCATATCCCTTCAAGGCATATCCAGGATTCACAAAAATCACGACTCCGTCTATAAATCAGCTTCTAATTATGCGGCGAATTTATCGATTCATATTTATATTTTTATTACTGCGAGCGAGGGGCGCAGATACTACTGTAAGCTATAAAATACCCTTATAACAACTTTATAAAAACACTAACGAAAGCTAAAGAAATTGCAGTTTTATGCAATTACCATTTTTAAACGCGTATTTCGCTGAAAAAGCCGCTAAAATGCTATGTGAAAGGGATTTTTGGTTTTTCGAATGAGAAAATTCCAAAATTTGAAATGCTGGAAGATGACTCTTTCAGAACAAAGATATCTATCGTAGTGATAGATACCTATTCAGAACACTTCCCACATCGCGAATACCTACGCTAATTGGGCATTACAAGGGAAATCGGATACGGTATAGAATTTCAAACGAGATTCATACGTGCCGATTATTTTCAGGGCCTAATCAGCCACAATTACATCTCCACCACCCCATATCCGCCATTCTACCACGAGAACATGCGTATGATTTTCATTGTATTTATTTATCCTACTATATATAAAAAACCAGTGGAAAAAGACCGCTTCGCGGCCCTTTTCCACTGGGCCCGGTCCAGGAACCATGAATTTGAGTAGCTTCTTTTTAGCCTACGGTGCAAGAACCTAACAAGTCAGACCATTCTTTGGCCTGCGGCGCCAGAGCCAGTGTTGCGCTAGAATACTTGAGCCTGCGGCGCTAGCTACTGCTTTTTCTCCCAAATTTAGCCTGCGGCGCGAGATCCTGGGCCGAGAACCTTTCCTTGGGCCTGCGGCGCCTGAGCAAAGGCCAGGCCTAAATCGCGCACACGGAAAGCCTAGAAATATGTTTTGTTGATGAACGACCAAAAAGCAAAAGATACATTTCTCGCGGATCCGAACCCGCGACCCTCAACGCCGTAGCCCCGGCCTTGATCCATTAAACCACAGGGGGAGGTTGGAACGGGCAGCGGTAAAGGCCTCTTCATATCCTGGGGGCAGAACCGGGTTGTGCTAAAAGGAATGGGCCCCAGCACCTCCCCCAGGCAGGCCTTCAGGCCGCTTTACAAAATTCAACTTTTGAGGTAGAAGCTGGTCGAATTTTGTGAAAATAATAAGATGCGCGTGATCCTCGCTATTGAATGCATGGATGGTCAAAAATACAGGTCCAAAATCGCCATGTATATTGAGATATGGCCTGGACACCAACGCCCGCGACACGATTTATTAAGGACCTGCCAGAAAAATCATTATAAAAACTTTATTTTCAAAAATTTTGCAAAATCCAACAAAATGTATCTGGGGAATTACTTTTCCCATTTACCTTCCAAAAATCATGCCTCAATTCCCTCTAGGCGCTGAGAAAACTTCCGGACAACGCGGCAAAAACCCATTTTGTTAAGGATTTTTTGCTTTTTTGCTTATAAAATTGTTAAATGAAGGTATTTCGTAAAACAAAAAAAATGCATCACTGACAAATGTGTTTCTCCACCTCCATGCCAAAAATCAGCCGGAAATTCGGCGTGACGGCCGAGAATTCGGCTGTACAGAAAACAAACATACTTTTCTCGCTTATAGGATAGGATATTGTCTGTGTGTTTGTGTGTGCCACTTTGCATGCAACTTCCGTCAGGGTGTCCGGAGGATATCTCGAGTGGGAAAGGGTTTTAAGCAAGGTATGATGCGTCATTAGGTGCGTAATGGCGCTGAGATGACTGCACCCACATCAGATTTTGCAAATTATGATATTTTCGACGTTAAAATTAGGGTTGTTTCTCGGAACAGGCCGAGATTCGGAACATTCGGAACAGCAGCCGTCCCGACTGTTCCGAATGTCGGAACGGTCCGAGTTTCGGGTGTTCCGGCTGTTCCGAGATTCGGAACATTCCGAGATTCAAATGATGCGGTTGTTCCGAGATTCGGAACAGTCCGAGATTGAGCTGTTCCGAGATTCAAATTTTTTCGCATGTAAATTTCCAAACACGACTGAATTTCGATTCGATTCGATCCCCAATTCGTTCTCATTTCCCTAATTTCCGGATTCGATATCTAACCATCGACGGAATTAGGTGTTCAGTTGCGCCCACACTGCCGTGGGACGGCCAAATCCAAACTTTTACATGTAATCTACACGATTTACATGAAATCGAAATTTACATACGAAAAAATTTGAATCTCGGGACACCTCAATCTCGGACTGTTCCGAATCTCGGAACAGCCGGAACACTTGAATCTCGGAACGTCCCGAATCTCGGAACAGTCGGAACAATATGAATCTCGGAACAACCGCATCATTTGAATCTCGGAATGTTCCGAATCTCGGAAGAGCCGGAACACCCGAAACTCGGACCGTTCCGACCAGTCTTTGTTCCGAAAGTTCCGAATCTCGGTCTGTTCCGAGAAACAACCCTAGTTAAAATTAAGTCTTTGTTAGAAAATGGTGCACTCACTTTGTTAGGAATCAATTAGCATTTGCCGGAAATGGCGCGAGCCTATATAATGGGCGGAGGAAGAGATTTTCAGTTTTTTTTTGTCATCGGAAGTCGCGAGAATTATGCAAAATGAAGCATATTATGACGTATGGGTAATATGGCCAGGGTTGAAAGACGCGAAGCGGCTTTTCAACCCTGGTTGAATTTAATTTGGTTCTCTAGACCAAACTACAAATTAGCTGATTTGAATGACTTTAATTCAGATAAAGTTCGCCAATTCATCCACCCACTCCGCCAGCCATCTTCCATCTATCGATCCCCACCAATTACGACTCAATATTCGACCCCAAATCCGGTTACGACACCAAATTCCGCGGTGCTACAAAGTACGGGAAGACTGTATCCACAGAGGATAGCCCCGATTCGATTGCCAGAGACTTTGATGGGTCCTCCAGCTGCTTCACCCTCTTCGTCGAGCCCAATCCCTCAAGCTGCCATTGGAGCACCACCTTTCAGGCATGGCGATGGTAGGTTTTTTGATGAAATACAAACTACAAAATTTGACTTGTTGCACTAATTAGCATTAGACTTACAAAGCTGGAAACATCCGCGAATATGTGTTTTTACCTCTTAATTATTTTGTAGGCATCGGTGTTTCGGTTTTTAATGGACACAAGTTTCAGAATTTCGCAAGAATTCATTTATTCTTAAGTTTTTTTTCTTAAAGTGGCACCTTTCCTAAAGCTTCCTTAAAATTTTTTCATCATAGGTCTTTTACTTGTTGCATTTTTTTTATTTGGAGTTCCAAAACTTCAAAATATAAAAAATTCCACAATAAGAAATGGGACCCGCAAGCTAAAATGGCGCTGCAAGGCAAGTTTTTTGACGTTTGTCGGCTTTCTTAGCCTGTAGCTTGTCTGAAATCTTCTAGCGGTTTTGAAAAAGATTATATTGTTGAGTTTTCGAACATAAAAAAACTGATTGTGTTCGTTCAGAATTCTACTTCTCCACCCCATCACCGGCACCGCCCAATAATAATTATAACATTAATGGAAGAGGCTTCTACCCTCGCCAGCCAGATGAATCCCAAATGGCCCCACCACCAATCATCACAAATCCACCATTTTTCCGTGAAGAACCCAATGAAATGAATGAGAATAATCTGGGGCGACCAGTTATGAAGAAAACGATGGAAGCATTGGCCAGATTTGCCGGAAAATTGGAGGGAAAGAACAAAGAAACGAATAACAACAATAATGGGGAGGAATTCACGACGGAAGAAAAAGAAGACGCCCATCTGACGCTCAGCAAAAAGAAGCAACACTATGGAACGTTTGGGAATGGATATAGGAGGGTGAGCTTTTTAAAGGCTAATGAACATTGGCTTCAAAATAGCTGTTTTTGACGATCTAGCAGGGAAAAAGAAGAAGTCTTTTTGAGGAGTTTTTATAAAAAATTATGAATACAGAATGATTTTTTTGATGCATCAAACGAAATCTCTCGGGGGCAAACTGGCAGAGATCTTTGAGGAATCGGTATTGCAAAAAATAGATAGCATCTTAAAAAAATATATAGGTTTAAGCGTTTATTTTGCGCCATTAAACGCTAGATATCAAAAAATTGAAAAATATTGTAAAATTAAAAATCCACAACGGCAAATTAGCAGAGTTCTTTGAGGAATTTCAGATTTTTGGCATTTTTAGTTTTCTCAGTGCACCGGATTGCGCGTTTTTGTATTTTTTCCAATTACGGCAATTGTTTGATTTTCCGGCTTTTCCAGATGACGTACTACCCCCAGATGCAAATGATGGAGTGTGAATTTGGGTGGTGCGGAAGGATGTGTTGCTCACCACCCCAAAACCCCGAACGACGCTTGTTCACGCGATGGCCATGCCCGGTACTGTAGTTAAAAAATCATTTTCCTGATTTTTATGGATTCGCTGTATGCCAGCTCGACGAAATATGCAAGAAAGGTTCAAAAAAATTACGAAAAATTGCGAATTTAAAATTTATATGAAGAACTTGTCAGATTTTTCCAAAATCAAAGTTTTTCGGAGACCGAAAAAGGTAAGTGATTGCATTTTTAGGTGGCGCCAACCCTCCAAACCCGATGGTATTCGTGCTCCATCCCCATCCTACCGTACCCCCTCAACAACCATCATCTATCTGTCTGCCAGATTGTCAACCATTGTGTCTACCCGGTTGTGGGGCACAGTATAGACCACAATCATATTCTGGGCCGAGTTGCAGGAGTGATTGGTCAGTTTTTGAAAGCCCAGCGGTTTTTAAAGGGACTGGGAAGGCAGAAATCCGTGGATAGATTCTTTGAGAAATAGAAGAAAACGGCTGACGCACAGAAAACGCAAGTTTAGATACATCTCTTTGGGTTTTTCGCGGCCATATAGTTTTTTAAAGGGTCTACGAAGGCAGAAATCCATCGTATAATTTTTGACACACGTTTAAAAATAGCATATTTGACGATTACGACAATTACAGTATGCCCGGCTGCCACGTCGACTGCCTTATCCTCCCTCCCGAACATATGCCGTGCAGGGGATTCCCCTGTGGCGGTGCACCTGATACCGCAATTGCGGGGATGATGTGCTGTTTGATGTATCGGGTACGTTTTTTACTTTTTTACGATATTACAGTCGATTCGAAAATCCAGAATTTAAAAAGAAAGCGTACGTTTAAAGATAAAACGACATAAAATGTGATGTTTTTAAAATTTGTCAAAACTCCATTTCTGGGTTTTTTCAGAACATGGCCAAAAAGCTGCGCGCCGATGTGGATATGGATTTGAAAAAGAATTTGACGATCCAACTGGATAAAAACTGGAACAACCCTTGGGATACGGTAGCCCAGGGGATACCCGTCAAAGAAATTGAGGGAGAGGCCGAAGGCGTTAGTCCGGTGATTGTTGCTCCGATCACAACAACTACAGTAGCCCCGAAGACTACTATTACTGTACCGGAAGTGGTTACTGTAACTGTAAAGAGTACTTCTACGGAAATTCGGAAAAACCGTGTAGTTCGTCTAGTACGACGACAACAACAACCACAATTCATACTACGATTACACCTAATTCCGATACTACTCGTACCCCGAAATCTGCGGGATTAACTTCTGAAGAAGCTAAGCCAACTAAAAAGCCGCTATATAAACCAGAAAAGACGCCAAAAACTACAAACTACAAAACACTAGCCGCAGAATCGACGGAATCAAATTATGATGAATTCCGCTTCCCTAGACGGCCGATTTTCAAACCGGAAAAGACCAAGAAAACTGTAGACTTCAAGCTACGAAATTTGGAAGAAAAATCAGAAGGAGCTCAAGGATTTAAAAATACAAACTTTAAGTCGAAGAGTCAAGAATTTGAGGAGAAAAGTGATGAAAAAGACGCAGAAAAACCGAGAGGGAAATTGGTATACGAGAGCACCGATATATCGAGAAACATCTAACGAGAATCTTGAGGAATTCAGATTATTGAAATCGTATGAATCTGGGGAGAGAATGACGACACCCAGGACTATTATTCCAATGTATCCGACGATACCTAGCTATGATCAATGGCAGATTGGGAAATCGAAAAAGAAGGATCTGGATACGCAGTTTATTGCGAGCAATACGTTTATGCAGGTCGGTTATTTTTAAATTGCAATTAAAATTGTTCTAAAGGTAAAAATTTACCTTATTTGTCGAAACAATTGCAAAGTTCTAAATTCGGAAATTCTATTTTATTTACTTCTGTTATTTTTTATCATTTGATATTTTAGGCGGCTGGTTTTTGGTTGTATCTATGTACAAAAGAGGAATTTTATTTAGCAGGAAAAACCTCAAAAATATCCCCAACAACTTAAAACTTTATTTTTACTAAAATTATTTTTTGTAAAAAATTTAAGAATACAATTTTTTTACATTCTTTGTAATATTTATTTATTTTAAAGCGTTTTAAATCAATTTTAAAATTTCCAAAATTTAAATTTTATTTAAGCTGTTTAAGCTATTTTTCAGGTCCTCCAAGATCTAGTCGGCCTTCAGTCTCGCCTCGACGCCACGATATCGAAAGAAAAGGATGACAATGGGTCTGCTGAAGATGCTGGGTACTTTGTCTAATTTTACAAAACTATTTTTTTAATTTCAGGTTCAAATATTTTGACATGCTGATCAACAACAGGATTCGTGAAGGGAAACCAGTGCCTGAAAAATCGAAATAACTATTTTTAATTGATATATTTCAGACGGTGAAAAATTACGCCGAATAAAAAATTACTATGTAAAATTACGCGTTTTTCCGGTCTATAAAAAATCTCAAAATATCTCTAAAACCACATATTTCTTCGAAACAACGATTTCAAGGTTCCAGAATTAAGCATTTTCGACCCTTGCATCCTGTAAATTTTGTATTGTAGTCGATTTAACTTGTAGTCTGTAGTCTGTAATTTGTAGCCGCGTGTAGTCCCTTGTATTTTCCACCGTTCCTTGTTGTGACAGCCAGACAGCAAGGGCCAAAAGCTTCACTTTTACGACGTCTGACTATTTTCCGAAATCACAACCCGATGTTGGCCCCAATCGATCATTATTGACGAGGAGGAGGAAGAAGAAGAAAAATGGATCGAGCCGGCCACAGCTGGGTCCTTTTCGGCTATTTTCCGCTTTTCACTGTGTGAAAAAGTCATAATGATGGATTGGGGAAATCAAAATACGGCTTCTTCATTGCACAGAAGCAGAAAAAGATGGGCTGCCAGTCAGATAGACAGACCGGCAGAGAAATGAAGCTCAATCCATCAGAAATGGGTGTAAAATGCAGCTAAACAAACCGTAATAAGAGGTCGTAGAGTGATCGTAGAGGAACAAAACGGTGTATCCCTAGACCCTCTATTGATAGAGGCACTAATGGCAATTTCCACTTTTGGTCTGCTTAAAATTGAGCAAATATAGGAATCATATTGCCATTTTTTGGCCAGCTGTCTATCGTTGACGCAGCTACGCGTATCGATTTCATGTAAATCTTCTTGGTTTTCCATTTAAAGGGATGCCGACGGCATAGTCAATCGGTTACGCGCGGAAGAAAATGTCTCTGCGCCTCTCCTCTGGGCGCGCTCTTTCCCCTGTTGGCTACTTGCCAATTTGTTGATGGGGGGGGGATCGGACACATGCCGTCGGCAGCCCTTTAATTACCGAGTCTGCTATTTTTTTATTTTTCACATTTAACCAGGGTTTGCTTTATACAGGGTGTCCCAAAAAGCACCCTCCGGCATTTCGCCGTATTACATCCCAACAGTCCCAAAATTGGATTGCAGGTGTATCAGACCCTAAATAACCACAATCCTGAGTTTTAACCCGACAGCTACAGTAGTTTTCGAGTTATCGTCAAAATACTGTTTTTTTACGCGGTGGTTAACAGTTTTTTCGGCTATCTTTTTGGACTTTGCATCGATTTGCATCGACTTCCGGCTGCGAATCCATAATTTCGCTTCATATCGGGCATGACTTCGCGTTACAAAAAATTGTTGAAATCAACGGTTATTTCACTAATTTTTATCAGGAAAAATCTCTAGGGGTAAGGCAGGCTTCCCGCTTCATTTTCACTTAATATTCGAAGGGTCGATTTCGACGAAAACCATATGAAAAACGGAGAATAAAGTTTATTTTTGCTGTATCTCGATGATTACTGTAGCTGGCGGGCTATAAGTCAGGATTGTGGTTATTTAGGGTCTGATACACCTCTGGTCCAAATATCGGACCGATCGGATGTAATACGGCGAAATGCCGGAGGGGTGCTTTTTTATGGGACACCCTGTATATCCGATTTACCTGTATATTTTGTTTCCGAACAAGTCGCTGAACGAAGCCAGTATTTTTGATTTTTATTTCAACACCTCGGAAGTTCCCAAGTTGTCAAAAGTGGCTGGAACCAGCTGACACCTGGGGGGACATCATTCTCTTTTTTCCGGGTTCGAGGGCCCAGCCAGTCTCTGGGAGGTCAAATCGGCCCGTTTTCGCTAGAAAAAAGAAGCAAATGCCCCAGGGGTTATGATTGGTGTGGTGGAGTGTTACACAGAAAGAGACACGGGGAAAAGGAGCTTCATCTTTGCTTTCGCTGGTCTTTCTGACTTGTAAAACTCATAAAAATGATTACAATTTTATTGCAATTCTTGTCAAAAACCCGTGAATAAAGTGGGATAAAAATAAGCGGAATAATCAGGCCAAAATTTTGTGCTTCTCATCATAATACAAAATACAAACTACAAAGCACGAGAATACAAAATCACATTTAATACCAGATATCGGAGCCTCAAAAAAGCACACGCAAAATTTATAAGCGAGTTTTACACATATGCAGATTCAATCTGAAAAAAAGGATACAAAACATGGGGATTCAAGTTTTTGGGGGTTTTACGCAAATGCATGAATTGGGGCCTTATCAAAGACGAGATCCTCATCCGATTCATGGCGTCTCAGCCGGAGTCTCTCGTAGTGACGATGGGCCAGATGGGAGATTAGCAGGAAGACGGACCCGAACACTAACTAAAAAAATCTTGTTTATTTCAGGCTTTCCTCCCAAATGATCTTTGCTAGCCTGCCCATCCAGGATAAAATTGGTAATTTGAATCCTTTGTTCGCGCAAAACAGCTCTGCTCGCTTGCCCCATGGTTTTAAAATATTGTTCAAATTTTTTTGGTTACACTGCCCATCAGAGCTTTGGAATTTTTGAAAAATCCGGCTTAAAATCACAACAATAAAATCAAAGAATTTAAATTTTATTTTCGACCCACCTCTGCTATGGCCACCGTCAATTGCCGGCCATACAACGAATTCGAAAATGGGACTGCTCGTTTTCGCCTTCCAAGCAGTGTCTAAAAATACTCTAAAATTGAAAAAGTTAAAAATGACAATCGAACAATAATTAAGAACGATAAATGATATATTATTAAATAATAATGATAAATTTTGAAATTCTATCTACCTGTGATAATACAATGATGACTATCAATGTATTGAATAGCAATCGCCATGACATATAGGGGACGACGGCTGAAGAGGATTGAGTCTAAATATTAGATATATTGGCTGGGATACGGTAGAATTACATGTGTCGCCCAACAAAGTGGAGGCAAGCTGATACCGTAGCCAATCAGGGCAACGATCACGACTGTAAGGATGATGACGGCGTTGGGATCTCTAAAATCAAGCTTTGGAGGTTTTTGAAGCCTGTAGTTTGTAGTAGCTCCGAAGCCTGTTGAGCCACATTTAATTTCCAGCCCGTAAAAAGCTAGTTCGGCGGTCTGTTTAACCGATTACGCCATCAAAATTACTCGATATATGTTATTCCAATTTTTAGGGTTATAGCGTGTAATTTACCAGCCAGTTAGGTTATAGTTAAGATTAAACCTCAAAACCTAAGCTGAACAGATGTTTAATCTACTACATTATGAAATTCTCTACTCCAAAAACCAATATTTTTGAACAAGTTGTCGTTAGTCTTTAGTTTAACTATTTTTATTATCTAAAATTTAACAAAAAGCTGACAGTTTAACCGATTACGTCGTAAAAATCCGATTCAGCCCACCTTTCATGAACTCGTAACGAGAATATCTGCGTGAATTCCCGCCACGCCGCATAGCCGAGTAGGGCTACGGTAGCCGTTTCCATGATGAGAATTATGTAGAGGCCAAATAGGACACAGCGACCACATAACGGAGAGACGTCTAGAATTGTAGTTTGTAGCATTTTTTAGACGCCGCTCATTCGATATTTCACTTAACTGCTCGCCAATTAAATTGCTAAAGTAATCTTACTGTATCCCTACCTCTTCCCTTTATTTTTGCAGGGCCCACTGTGTTTTGTATCTTTAAATTTTGCTCTTTTCATTTTGCGCTTGTTGAGCCTTTTGGTGACCTATTTTCCATGTCATTTGCCTTGTTTTATGGATGTTTTCGGGGTCGAAAAGTACACGCGTATTTTGGCGGGGGTCCCATTTTTACCCATCAGCCCCCCAGGACACGAGAGGTTCGAAATAGCACAAACAAACATATAAATCCGGGGTCGAGGAGGGCCTTTTCGTGCCTTCCATGCACCTTTAAACCCCCGCAATAATACCCACCATGTGATCGCATCCAATTGGCCACCCAATGCAAACTCTTCAACGACGGAATTTTGGCGATTTTTCGAGCGTTTAGGGGTGGACAATCTGAAATCTTGCGATTTTTTTGGAATTCATGAGTTGTAAATAGGTGGATGGCGGACAATTTGAAATAAAAATGGTATCTTGACGATTTTTAAAGCTTTTTGTGGGTTTAAAATATAAAATTACAAAATTGCTGTTGATTCTCTGGGGTGTAAAGAGGTTTATGACGGAAAAACGGAACGATATGGCAAGGACAATTGCCGGAAAGTTGTTGCAAGTCGGAAAGGAGGAAGGGTCCCGTCAACAACCACTTTTTCGAGGGGCAGAGCGGCTATCGCGATAATTTGTCTTTTAGGGTGGAGAATGGGCCATAGAGGAAGAGACGGCCAATGTACAACCGATGAAAAAGAGGGGAAGAGGAGGAGGACATGGGAAGAAGATGATTTGCGACAATTGGCTCTAGCGATTAGGAGAAAATGGGGGTTGGGAACTAATGATATTTACTAACACTGTTGTTTTAAGGGCATTGACAAGATATTGTCATGGATAGGTCGCGACGCGCGACGCGCGCGCTCGCCTTTCGATTGCGTAATGCATTTCAACATTTGTAAGCTTGCTCATGCGCCACGTCTCGAGTCACGGCAAAATTAATGGGGAATTCTTTGTGGTAAAATCAATGCAAATTTATATTTGATAAATTACACTGTTAAAATATCAATATTACACGATTTTTAAGAAGCCATTTTTCTGACCTTGTTTTCTGCGAAAACACAAAGGTTCAAAAGTAGGTTTATCTTGTTTACTTGGTTTAAATCAAGTTGAATCTGGAAAAATAGTATATAAACGTTCCGAAAATGGCATCGCATTGCCATTATTAAGACCAGGTCCTAGAGACAAGAATTAAACTCCTTTCAGCTCAAAGGTGCAAAGAAGTTCGGGTGCGTACAGAATCATAGGAGTACGGAACGCTACTACACTTCATGAAAGGTGACACCCGATAGCGATGATGATGGCCATGGTGATGATGGCACGTGGGGGCTGTCAAAAACTGGGGAAAGGCTAACCGGATGTGGGATGATAGGG